CCCCCCAAGGCCAAGCGCATCCCCCCAGCAGCACCCCAACACCTTGACATCCCACCACAGGCACCCCAACACCTTGACATCCCCACCCAGGCACCCCAACACCTTGACATCCCACCACAGGCACCCCAACACCTTGACATCCCCACCCAGGCACCCCAACACCTTGACATCCCACCACAGGCACCCCAACACCTTGAGCATCGCCCCCCCAGGCGCCCCAACACTGTGAGCACCCCCCCTCGTTGCCCCACCTCAATGGTGCGGTGCAGGGGGTCCACGATTTGCCAGATGATCAGTGTGACCACATCCAGCCCCACGAGCAGCCCCACGGTGGCGTACAGCTTCCAAGGCTCCAGGGTCTGGGTGTGGGGACAACACAGTGTCACCGAGACCCTGCGCCTCCCCCACTCAGTCCCTCCCACCCCACTGGGTCACCCCTCACCTTCCTCTTCTCCTTCTTCTCCTCCTTCTTGGTGAAGACGGTGTGGACCCACCAGATCTTGGTGAACATGCTGCCATACGCCAGGCTGAACCCCAGCCCCAGGAGCCACAGCCGGGCCTGGGGATGGCACGTAGGTTGGGAAGAGCCAGTTGTACCTCCCCATCCAGCTGTACCCACCTCTGCTGCACCACCACGGCGTGTAACCCCCTCCCATAGACCTCCCTTGACCAACTTCCTTGGAAGTCCACAGCTCTGTTCCTGACTGTACCACCTCCGACTGTCCCTGTCCCCTAGCTGTATCTCTGTTCCTCCTCCAACTGTCTCCATCCCTGGCTGTATCTCCAACTTCTCCTCCTCCAACTGTCCCCATCCCCTGGCTGTATCCTCCTCCAACTGTCCCCATCCTCTGGCTGTATCCTCCTCTGACTGCCCCCATCCCCTGGCTGTATCCTCCTCCAACTGTCCCCATCCTCTGGCTGTATCCTCCTCTGACTGCCCCCATCCCCTGGCTGTATCTCCAACTGTTCCTCCTCCGGCTGTCCCCATCCCCTGGCTGTATCTCCAACTGTTCCCATCCCTGACTGTATCTCCAAATGTTCTTCCTCTGGCTGTTCCTATCCCTGGCTGTATCTTCCTCCAACTGTCTCCATCCCTGGCTGTATCTCCAACCGTTCCTCCTCTAACTGTCCCCATCCCCTGGCTGTATCCTCCTCCAACTGTCCCCTTCCTTGGCTGTAGCTCCAATGTTCCTCCTCCGGCTGTCCCCATCCCTGACTATATCTCTAAATGTTCCTCCTCTGTCTGTCCCCATCCCTGGCTGAATCTCCAGCTGTCCCCACCTCCTGGTTGTCCCCACTCTGCCTGTACCCCCCAACCCCCCGCCAGCCCCATACCTGACAGACGAAAGGGAAGAGCCCTGGCCCGATGTGATACCCGTCGAGTCCCAGGGGGAAGACAGCAGCGAGCGCCAGCGTGCAGCCCACAGCCGTCATGTTGTTCAGGTACGGCTGTGAGTTCTGGATGTACCTGGAGGAGGGTTGGTGAGAAGACGTGGTGTCACCCGGCCGCCGTGCTCAGCTGTCGGTGGTGCCTGGCCTCCAGCGGGACGCAAGAAATGGGGACACGAAGGGAGAGGACAGGAAACCACGTGCTACAACCAGGCACTCGCTACCACCTGAAGCTCCTATGCAGTGAGATGGGCAACTGGGGTATCTACTATCAATGGCGTTTTGTCACCGTCATCTTCTGTAGGAGGACACGGGAGCAGTTAATCCCTTTTTTCCCTCCGGGCGTTGCTAACCCCACGCTTGTTTTCAGCAGCCATGGGAGAGGAAAGGTGTGACACGTTCCCAGACCCCAGGAGAACAGGGACGACCACTGACCGGACGTGCCCATTGTAGATGTTGAAGGCCAGGCAGATGATGGCCAGGAGGATGCCCAACGAGGCCAGCACCGAGACGGAGATAAAGAGCTTCTGGGACAGGAACCGGAAGGTGGTGATGACCTTGGTGTAGTCAGCTGGAGGGGCACCTCCTGCAGAACCCATGGCACAATTAGGGGGCGTGGGGGGCGGGGGGGTCTTCCCAACCCTTCCCCATGGCAGGGAACCCCCCTGCTCACGCCCCACATGTGGCGCTGCTCACCGATCCACTTGTCGTTGTTGTACCAGGACAGGTTGTCCTTGGTGCTGTCGTAGTAGCCAATCTTCTTGTAGACGCCTCCTGCGAGGGCAACAGAGATGGGTTGGGTGCGAGGGAAGGAGGAGCGACACCCCGCCAGCGTTTGTGCGCGCCCCCGCAGGATCACGGACTGGTTGGGGGTTGGAAGGGAACCTCTGGGGGTCATCTGGGGCAACCCCCTGCTCAAGCAGGACCACCCAGAGCCCCTTGTCCGTGGCCATGTCCATGCAGCCGTTTGGATGTCTCCAAGGATGGAGATCCCACCACCTCGCTGGGCACCTTCTGCCAGTTCTTGGGTCACCTACACGGTGAAAAAGTGGTTCCCGATGTTCAGCTGGAGCCTCCGGTGCTCCAGTCCCTTCATCATCTTTGTGGCCCTTCTCTGGATGCTCCCCAGTAGCTCTCTCATACTGGGGAGCCCAGTACTGGCACATATTTCCAGGTGTGGCCTCACCAGTGCTGAGCAGAGGGGCAGGAGCAACCTCCTCGACCTGCCCCACCGCTCCTGATGCACCCCAGGATGCTGTTGGCCATCTTTGCCACATCACTGACTCATGGTCAACTTGGTGTCCACCAGAACACCCTAGGGCCTTCTCTGCAAAGCTGGTTGACCCCCAGCCTGTCCCGGTGCCTGGGGTTGTTCCTGGAGCACTTCTCCCCTTGTTGACCCTCATGAGGTTCCTCTCAGCCCAATTCTCCAACCTCTTGAGGTTCTTCTACATGGTTCTTTGACCCTTTGGTGCCTCAGCTGCTCTTCGCAGTTTGGTGTCATCAGCAAACTGGCCGAGGGTACTCTCTGCCCCATCATCCAGACCATTGACAAAGATGTTGGACAGGACTGCACCCAGTATTCACCCCTGGGGTGCACTGCTGGTGACTGGCCTCCAACTGGACCTTCTGCCACTGATCTCCACCCCCTGGACCTGGCTGTCCAGCCAGTTTTCAGTCCAGCCCAGCGTCTGCTCATCCAGCCCAGACATCACCACCTTCTGTAGGAGGATCTTCTGGGAGACAACAGTGTTGAAAGCCTTCCTGAAGCTGAGGTAGACAATGGCCACCACTCTCACCTCACCTACCAACCCAGTAGAAGGTGGTCAAGTTGGCCAAGCATGACTTCTCCTTGGTAAATCCACGCCGACTGCTCTTGATGACTTTTTTGTCTGAAGCTCCTTGCTTGCCCCCCAAACCTCCTCCACCCTCTGGACCTCCCTCTGTCACACGCAAGAGCCGTTGTGTGTTGGTGAGGACACACATCCCATTGGACACGTGGCAAACAGGGTGCGGAGAAAGGGGTTGTCCCCTGTGCGTTGCCACCCCTTGAGAGGTTGTGCAGTGGTGGGACTTGTTGGGGTGTGTGTCTTGGAGTGGTTGCGTGCTGGTGTCGTTCAGGCAACCTGGATGGTCGGCGGTGGTCACCCCCTGCAACATGGTGACGGTGTCCACCCTGACGTGGCTGCTGCCTGGGCTCACTCACCTTGAAGCTGCTCGATGAGTGTCCAGGCCATGCGGGAGCCACTGGCGTCGAAGACAACGTGTCCCTGTGGGATGGAGATGGGTGTCGGGGACCTGTCAGCTGGCCAGACCACGTCCCCAGAGGGGTGTCGGGAGAACGTTTTCCCTGGGAGTTTTGGGGTGGCTCAGGAGGGCACACTTGACGGGTGCCTTCAAGGCACCTCCACCAGCACCTCGAAGGTGGAGGAGTTGGGGACATTGGAGATCTTGCTGGGGGAGAAGAGGCCACACTGGGGCTGGGAACTGGCAGGGCCTCAAGTGTGGGCAACGCACCGAGACACCCTCAAAGGCAGAGGAGTTGAGGGCCCGGTAGATCTCATCGGTGATGTTCTTGTTGTTGTAGTTGAAGTCCTCCAGGCGCAAGCCTTTCTTCACCAGCTCCGCTGAGGTCTTGTTGAGGGCCAGGGCCAGCGCCCAGATGGCATCGTAGGCCAGTGGAGCCTCCTGGAAGCCTCCTGTCTCCTCAGGGTTCTTGCCCAGCCGCGTCTGCAGCTTCTCGATGAACTCCTGAGATGTCTGGGACAGGGAACAAGATGGTGGTGATGTTGGAGTGGACCGCCTAGGAGCGCCATGTCCCCCCCCTCCATCATCCCCATACCATGTTGGAGATGCTGCGGGTATTCTCAGGGTTGAGCATGACGATCTCGGTGGTGACGTGTCCCTCCACAGCCTCGGCCATCTCTGCCTCGGTGCAGTTGATGGCCGGATCCTTGATGCGGAACCAGTTGTCGGCGTACCAACCGATGAGGAACCAGACATATTTCTTGCCGTACAGCTTCTCCTTGTAGACCTGCGTGGGCCGAGGAGCAGTAGCCTTACCCTTCATGCTGTCCTTCCCACCATCCCTCCCTCCGCCCATCGCGCTTCACCCCATCCCACCCAGTCACCCTTCGCTCATCTAGCACCCTTCTCTCTACCCCATCCATCCAGCCCGCCCTGCGCCCAGCCGCTCTTCACCCCGTGCCTCCACTCAACCATTTCCCGTCCCACCATCCCACCCGCCCATCCACCCATCCGTTGGTTCTATCACACTCCCATCTACCCACACTTCCACCCACCCACCCATCCTAACGTCTTTCTGCCTGCTGACCCACACGTCCCACCACCCTTCGGTCCATCCCACCATCCATCTCCCCACCCTCCCAACTGCCCCATGTCCACCTGATGTCCCATCAACCCCCATGCCCCCCATGGTGCCCACCCACCCCAGATTCCGCCCCCTCCCTCACCTCGCAGAAGACCTTACGCGCCTCCGTCTCGTAGAAGAGCCCCACAATGATACGGGCGTCCTGGCGCTGCAGGGAGACAAGTCACCCTGGGGTAGGACTTCTGCGCCCCTTTGCTCCTAGAGGGTCAACCCACCCAGCCTCATTTGCATAACTTTGCACAGGGGTGCTGAGGTGGACCAGAAGCTTGGCATTGCATGGCCAGGTCATGGACATTGCTCCCCATCCAACGATGCATGGTTGACCTGGATGCTTGGGCATCTTGGGGTGGGGTCTCTGCTCCCCTTGGGGTGCAGGACATGGCTCTACCCGCACCCTGATGGTTGTGGGTGCCATGAGGGAGGACTTGGTGGGGACGTGGACCTGGACACGGGCAAAGGTGGACTCACCTTGAGGTTGCGCACAGGCGCGGCGGGGTCAGAGAAGAAGCTCTGGCGGAAGGTGATCTCCAAACCAGCTTCCTTCACCCGTTGGTCCAGGTCATCGAGGGTCTGGGGAGGGGTGGGCAGGAGGGGTGGGGAGCAGGCAGGAGGTGCAGGCAGGGAGCGGGGCAGAGGGGAAAGAGAGTGCAGAGTGAGTCAGGGGGAGGGGGGAGGATGGTGGGGTTGAGGGGCACCAAGCAGGGGAGGCAGGAGGTGGGGTGCTTGCCA